CGTGTGCGTGTGCGTGTGCGTGTGCGTGTGCGTGTGCGTGTGCGTGTGCGTGTGCGTGTGTGTGTGCGTGTGCGTGTGCGTGTTGCGTGTGCGTGTGCGTGTGCGAGTGCGTGCTTGTGCGTGTGCGTGTTGCGTGTGCAGTGTGGCTGTGCGTGCGTGCGTGCGTGCGTGTGTGCGTGTGTGGCGTGCGTGTGCGTGCCTGTGGTGTGTGTGTGTGTGTGTGTGTGTGTGTGTGTGTGTGTGTGGGTGTGTGTGTGTGTGTGTGTGTGTGTGTGTGTGTGTGTGTGTGTGTGTGTGTGTGTGTGTGTGTGTGTGTGTGTGTGTGTGTGTGTGTGTGCGTGCCATCTTTCCTGCGACTGCGCTGGTGCACTGCCTGCCTGTTTCGCCGCGTCGCTTATCACCAGGGAAGGGCTGCGTGGGTGGCCTTTCACATGTTCCCACGCTTTGCAGGTCAGAGCGCTCTCCACCCACCTCCCTGCTCCTCTCCCCCCCCCGCTCACTTGGAAATGCCACGAAAAGGAGCGAGAGGGGGGAGTGGCAAGCTAGATGCGCTCGCGTCATATATGACGTCCTACCCCTCCCTCCCATCCCTTACCACTGCGTAGATCTCCTCTCTATTCGCACACTCGGATGTCGATCACGGCAATGATCGTAAGAGGGTGCGCGATGCATGGTAGAGCACGGCATTGCAAGGCTTAGAGGAGCACGGCAGAGCGTAGCATGCCATAGCATGGCGTGGCGTTGCGTAGTGAAGAATTGCATCACACAGAACTGCAACGCAAAGAACGGCCTCGCACAGCGGCACAGAACACAACAGCATGTCATGGCAGGCGCCGGGCTCCTTGGAGGGTAAGTGGATCATCTTCGAGAGGTCTGGGCCGGTCTGGAGCCTTGGGCTCCCCGACAAGCTCCACATAAGGCGGGGCTGATGGAGAGCACCCGCTGGCTTCGCTTTCAACATCGCCTTCTCAAAGTAGAAACGGGGCTCCCGCTTGATGCTTCCTGAAAACGACGACGCCACGAAGTGGGGGGTGGCTCATCTTCTGCGGTCCAACAAATGAGCGAATCGATACCGAATGTGAACTCACTTTCGATGATTTTTTCGGGGGGGGGGGGGGGGGCATTTTCTAGATTTTGGGGCATGGCATCGCACAGCGGAACACCACATAGCGTTGCATTATATGCCATGGCACTGAAAATAATGACGCCAGCGTTGCAGAGGGAACACGATTCGGAACGAGCGGAAGCGCAGAATGAGGCCAGCGCTGCAGCGGGAGCATGATTTGGAACGAGCGGAAGCGCGGAAATGAGGCCAGCGCTGCAGCGGGAGCACGATTCGGAACGAGCGGAAGTCCGAAAATGAAGCCAGCGCTTCAGCGGTAGCAACACTTTGCAAATAAAAACCAAGTGAAAACCCAACTCACGGGAATCCTGTGTGTAAATAAACCGTATGCGGAGGGGGGCCGGACATCTTCCAGACGTCATCAGTGGAAAGAGGAGAGTAATATTCATATCGTGTAATTGTGGAGGATGCAGAGCAGAAGGAAGAGGAGCGGAAGAGGAGGACGGGAGGCAGAGAAAATATAGAACGGGAAGGAGCAGCACGACGAGGACGTGAGGGAGGAGAAGGAGGAGGAGAAGGAGGAGGAGGATGAGAAGGACAAGGAAGAGATCGACGACGACGACGCAGGTGATGACGGCGGCGGCGGTGACAACGACCACGACGGCGGCGGCGACGGCGGCGGCGACGACCACGACGTCGGGCGACGGCGGCGGCGGCGGCGGCAACGACGACGTCCGTGGGCCCCGCCGGCAGGAGCCTTCGGAGAGCGCGCACGCGACGCTCCGCTCGCAGGCTTGGGCCGGCACTTTGGGGGGGGGAGCGTGGTTGCTGGTGGTGCGGCCGCCCCCGGTGCCGCTGCTGCCCCAGCCAGACTGGCCGAGTGCAAGGTGAAAGGAAAGGAAGGGAGAATTGTGATGGTGACGGTGATGTTAATGATGATGATGATGATGATGATGATGATGATGATGATGATGATGATGATGATGATGATGATGATGATGACGATGACGATGATGATGATGACGATGACGATGATGATGACGATGACGATGACGATGACGATGACGATGATGATGCTGATGCTGATGCTGATGCTGATGCTGATGCTGATGCTGATGCTGATGCTGATGCTGGTGATGGTGATGGTGATGGTGATGGTGATGGTGATGGTGATGACACTGGTGATACTGATGATGATGCTGATGACGATGATGATAATGGTTCGTGATGATGAGGAGGACAATGACGATGAAGATGACGATGACGATGATGATGACGATGATGAAGATGATGATGATGATGATGATGCTGATGATGGTAAGTATGGTGATGCTGATGGTGGTTATGGTTATGATGAGGATATGGGGGTGAGGATGAGGATGAGGATGGTGAGGACGCGGATGAGGATGGCCAGGATGAGGATGAGGATGACAATACGGATGAAGATGAGGTGACAATACTCTGAGTACATCAATAGTTTTGTTGTGACCAATAGTCGGGGGGGGTTGGGGGCCCTGTAGTCCTGGGGGGGAGCCCTCTAGTCCGGGGTGGGGTTCTGGGGAGCCCTTGTAGTCTGGGGGGGGCCCTTGTAGTCCAAGGGGAAGGGGGGGGGGGGTCCCTTGAAGTCTGGGGTCTGGGGGGGGGGTCTTGTAGTATGCGCACAACGCAGACAATGCGCTTTGCACGAGTGCGCGCGCAATCCCGTCGGCAAGCAGCGCGGCGATTCCGCTGGCATCGCGCGCGCGCGCGTGCGAGCAGCCCTTCTGCGAGACAGAGGCCCCAACATCCGTTCGCCATTGGCACCCTGCAGCACCTGCTGTGCTGGGCGGGGGTGACTGAAGTCCGGGGGCTGGTCCATGCAGTCCGGGGACGGGTTCCTGTAGTCCGGGGAGGGGGCCCCTTGCAGTCCGCAGGGGGGTCCCTTCTTCTCGTCCAGGGGGGGGATCTCTGTAGTCTGGGGGCCCTCGTACTCTGTAGTCTGGGGGATCTCTGTAGTCTGGGGATCTCTGTAGTCTGGGGGGGATCTCTGTAGTCTGGGGGGGGGATCTCTGTAGTCCGGGGGGGGCGCCCTTGGTAGTCCGGGGGAGTGGCCCTGGTACTCCGAAGGGCCCTGGCAGTGCGGGGGCCCGAGGCTGTTGAGGTATACTCCGTGTGCGGATGCTGGTGCTGAGGAGGACGACGGTGGTGATGCTGAGGATGATGAGAACGAAGGGGGGCTGATGACAAGGATGATGATACTAATGCTGATGATGGCGATGATGCTGATGCCGATGATGCTGGTGATGGCGAGGCTGCCGATGATGGTGATGATGACGACGAGGATGATGATGATGATGATGATGATGATGATGATGATGATGATGATGATGATGATGATGATGATGATGATGATGATGATGATGTTGCTGTTGATGCCGATGCTGATGGTGGTGATGATGATGACGAGGTTGACGACGACGATGGTTGCGATAATGAGCATGATGACACTGATAATCCAGATGATGCTGATGATGATATGGTTTTGGTGGTGGTGATGATGACGACGGTTGATGATGAACCGGAGTAACACGATGATGAGCACGAACAAGATGATGATGACGATGGTGATGATGATGATGCTGACGCTGACTCTGATGATGATGATGATGATGATGATGATGATGATGATGATGATGATGATGATGATGATGATGATGATGATGATGATGATGATGATGATGATGATGATGATGATGCTGCTGCTGCTGATGATGATGATGATGATGATGATGATGATGATGATGATGAGCATGGCGATGATGATAATGATGCTGGTGGTGGTGGTGCTGCTGATGATGATGGTGATGGTGATGGTGATGGTGATGCTGACGATGATGATGGTGGTGGTGATGACGCCACACGCACATAGCGGGGCATAGACAGCATCATGAAGCACCACATGATTTCGTGCATGGCTGAGTATGGAATGACAACTAGCAGTGCGCGTCCTGCTGATCATACCTCTCCTCTTTCGTCTTCTCCTCCTCCTCCTCCTCCTCCTCCTCCTCCCCTCCTCCCCTCCTCCTCCTCCTCCTCCCCTCCTCTCCCCTCCCTCTCCTCCTCCTCCTCCTCCTCCCTCCTCCTCTCCTCCTCCTCCTCCTCCTCCTCCTCCTCCTCCTCCTCCCCCTCCTCCCCTTTAGCGTCATACTCCTCTTCTACCTATCCCTCCCCATGCTTCTTTTCCTCCTTGTCTGCCTCGTCCGCCTCTTGCTCCTTCTCCCTCTCTTCCCATTCAGCCCCCGCCTCCTCCTACTGCTCCTTCTCGTTCCTGATCTTTCCTCCTCTTTTGCCTCCTCCTCCTCCTCTTTAGCCTTCTCTTCCTCTTCTTCCTCCTCCTTATTCTCATCATCCATCTTCTCTCTCCCTCCTGCTCTTTCCATCTCCTCCTCCTTATTTTCTCCTCTCCTTCTCCTCCTGTTCCTTCTGCTCCTCCTCCTCCTCCTCCTCCTCTCCCTCCTCCTCCTCCTCCTCCTCCTCCTCCTCCTCCTCCTCCTCCTCCTCCTCCTCCTCCTCCTCCCTCACATCATCATTATCATCATCATCCTCATCATCAGCATCAGCATCTGCATCATCATCATCATCATCACCATCATCATCACCATCCTCATTATCATTAACATCACTAACATCATCATCATCATCATCATCATCATCATCATCATCATCATCATCATCAGCATCATCATCATCATCATCAGCATCATCATCATCATCATCACTGATATCATCACCATCATCGTCATCATCGCACCATCACCACCACCACCACCATCATCATCATCATCATCATAATCATCATCATCATCATCATCATCATCATCATCATCATCATCATCATCGTCGTCATCGTCATCATCATCATCATCATCATCATCATCATCATCATCATCATCATCATCATCATAATTGTCGTCCGCATCCTGATCCTATCCTATCCTCCTCCTCATCCTCCTCTCTCCTCTTCCGTCCCTTCTGTTCCTCCTCTGCTTCCCCCTCATCCTCCCCCTCCCCCGCCTTCTCCTTCTCCTCCTCATCCTACTGGTCCTCCTCCCCCTCCCTCCTCCCTCTCCTCGGGGAGGAGGAGTCGACACGACGCCCCCCCGCGGATCCTATTTCTGTTCTTGCTCCGTCCTCTGAACTCCCCCTTCTCGAGGAGGAAGGGGAGGGGTGGGGGAAGGTGGCGACGACGACGACGGCGACCTTTCCCTTCTAAAATCTTCACCAGACATCTTATGAGGCGCGTCTTGACTAGAAGCTCGGAGGGAATCCTGGCCGCGGCGTCGACGAAGTTTCCTTGAGGCCCAGATAGGGCGAGAGACGTTCGAAAACCTCGAACTCCGAGCGACTGACGACGGCGACCGACGACGGCGACGGCGACGGACGGCGGTGGCGGCGGTGGCGGCGGCGGTGGCAGCGGCGACGACGACGATGACGACGACGACGACGACGACGACGACGACGACGACGACGACGACGCGCCGGCGCCGGGCCAGGGCCAGCGGTCGCTATCCGCCGGCACGGGCCCCCTCGGCCGCACGGTGCCATCCCCCCAGCGCGAGACGTTTCACAACCAGGTGCCCGCGGCCGCCGCCGCCGCCGCCAGCGCCGCCGCCGCCACGCCGTCGCCGCCGACATTGCCGCCGACATCGCCACCGCCTCCCCTGAGATCCTGGCGTCGCAATTTTTCACAACGGGCGGATTTGCCTTGTTTCGGGCCCCGGGGACGTTCACGGATCGATCCAGCAGGAAGATTGCCGCAGAAAGCTGGGGGTCAGGGCTCGGGTCGAGTCTTTTTCGTGACGTCGGGTCCGCCTGGTCCCCTCCTCCCGGTACGATCGAAATGGGTATGGACAGAATGGGCACGAAGACCGACAGCGGTTCTTGTCCAATTTGAAGAGGACCTGCTGTCGGTGTTTCCGCGCATGTTGCCCATCTGAGACAGGCGGCTGCCTGCCCAAGAGCGGCCGCTGTCGGTTTTGGACAGCACTCGCTGCTGGGCAGCGTGCCCATGTTTTCCGTACCCAGACATGCGTCGTCCTGATTTTTTCAGGACGGCGTCCCTGGACGTCCTGACCCTTTCCCCGGGACCGGTTTTCCATCCTGAGTCGTTTTTTGACGGTCCCGCGGCCCAGCGAGGGCCCCCCCGAGGCCGAAAACTGGTAAATGATTTTTTTACGACGCGAGCATGCCTGGGTACCCATCTCGGGCGTCCACAGTTTCCCCTCTCGCCCTCCCTCCCTCCCTGCCTTCTCTCCCCCGCGCCCTCGCTCTCTGCCCTCTCTCCCCCGCGCCCTCTCTCCCCCGCGCCCTCGGCCCCCTTCCCCTCTGCCCTCTGCCTGCCCACGTCGCCCCTCCTCGTTCTCCTCGCCTCCTCCCTCGTCCTCCTGCTGCTGCTGCTGCTGCTGCTGCTGCTGCTGCTCCCTGTCCCTCATGCCCGCTCCCTTATCCGCCTCATCCTCCCTCGCCTCCTCAGTCCTCTCTCCTTGCTCCTCCTTCGTCCTCGCGGTCCTTCTCCTCCTGTTCCCCTGCTCTTCCTCCTCGCTGCCGCCGCCGCCGCCGCCGCCGCCGCCGCCGCCGCCGCCGCCGCCGTCGTCGTCGTCGTCGTCGTCGTCGTCGTCGTCGTCGTCGTCGTCGTCGTCGTCGTCGTCGTCGTCGTCGTCGTCGTCGTCGGCGTCGTCCTCGTCGTCGTCGTCGTCGTCGTCCTCGGCGTCGTCGTCGTCGTCGTCGTCGTCCTAGGTCCTATATCCTACAATGCATCGGTACCAGTCGCGACAACTTCCAAATTCAGTCGAAAACCGCAAAGCAGCGGCCAGACCGCCTTGACAGACTCGAGAAGCCGATCGATCATACAGTGGCAGCAGGACGTACGCATGATTTTCCTTATCCTTCTCCTCCTTATCTTTCTCCTCCTCTCTCATTATTCTCCTCCACTTTCTCATCCTTCTCATCTTTCTCCTCTCCCTCCTCCCTGATTATTATTCCCCCCTCCTCCTGCTCCTGCTTCTCCGCCTCCTCCTCCTCCTCCTTGCCCTGCCTCCGCCTCATCCTCATCCTCATCCTTCTCATCCTCATCCTCCTCATCCCTCCTCATCACTCATCCCCCTCATCCTCATCATCACCACCACCGTCTCCTCCTGCTGCTGCGCTCTCTGGCGCGCGCCGGAGCGCGCGCCTGTAGAGAGGAGGAAGAGACGAAGGAACGATGTGCACGGGGGGGAGGAGGAGGAATCGGAGGAGGAGGAGGAGGACGAGAAGGTGAAGGATGAGGAGGAGGAGGAGGAGGAGGAGCCATTACTAGGTACGAGCGCCCACAGCGTCCAACCGTTCAAGAGGAGTAGGAGGAGGAGGAGGAGGAGAAGGAGGAGAAGGAGGAGGAAGAGGATAACGAGGAGGAGGAGGAGGAGGAGGAGAAGGAGGAGGAGGAGGGGGCAGGGCAAGGAGGAGGCGGTGGAGGAGGAGGATGGGGGAGAAGGAGGAGGAGGAGGAGGAGGAGGAGGAGGAGGCCCTTCCCCTCCTCCTTCCCTCCTCCTTCCCTCCTCCGCTTCCTCCTCCGCATTCCGCCTCATCTTTCTCTTCCCTCCGTGCAGTACGAACACCATCATCAACGAAAGATGGGGTTTCCCCACTTCGACAGGCACCGATGATCAAGGATGGAAGATCCCGAGTGTGCCCCACCCGACAGACAAATGGTCCCAGACATCCGGCTGCTCCATTTTTTTTGGCGAGTACACAACGCAGTTTTGTTCGTTGTCACAAAAACGCGGACCTGGGAACCTTCTACCCCTGCCGCCCCGCCGCTGGCGCCGCGGTTCGCCGCGGTGCCTGTGGTGGGGCGGGTTGGGTCGGTTGGGGGGTGCGTTTGGGGTGGCTCGCCTCAGGTTTTCTTGGACTTCGTGTTCCTCGTCTTGTTCGTGTTCTTTGTCCACGTCTCCCTGCGGTGGGGGGAGGGTAAATATACCCCCGCGTCGCGCGCGCTGCCCCGAGGGCGCTTGTCGGCCGTACGCGAGGCTGGCGCCCTCGGTGCGCGCGTCGCGGGCCGCCGTGGCGGCTTTTGTTTCCGTATGACCGTGTCAGTATGACCGTGTCAATGAGGCCGTGTCAATGCGACCGTGCCTGGGCCGTGTCAATGCGACCGTGCCAATACGACCGTGTCAGTGCGACCGTGTCGATAAAGCCGTGTCAATGCGACCGTGCTATGGCCGTGTCAATGCGACCGTGCCAATACGACCGTGTCAGTGAGACCGGGTCAATAAGGCCGTGTCAATGTGACCGTGCCTGGGCCGTGTCAATGCGACCGTGCCAATACGACCGTGTCAGTGCGACCGTGTCGATAAAGCCGTGTCAATGCGACCGTGCTATGGCCGTGTCAATGCGACCGTGCCAGTATGACCGCGTCAATGTGACCGTGTCGATGCGGCCGTGTCAATGCGACCGTGCCTGGGCCGTGTCGACGCGACCGCGCCAGTAAGATCGCGTCAATGCGACAGCGTCTGTAAGGCCGTGTCAATGCGACCGCGTCTTTTCGATTGCGTCAACGCAACGCGTCAATTACGCCGTGTCGTTGCGACCGTGCCAATTTCTCCGCGTCACTGCGTCCGTGTCTTGTGGGGCGTGTCAAGGGGACCGTGCCGTTGCGACCATGTCAACGCGTCCGTCTCGCCGCGACCGTATCAATGCGAATGTGTAAAAGCGAATGCGTCATTGCGACCGTGTCAGCGCGACCGTGTCAGTGCGACCACGCCAATATTACCGCGTCAATGCGACCGGTTTCCGCCGCCCAGCATGTTGACATTCGTCAGGAGACGCGCGCAATGATCGTTGTTACGCGACGGAGCCAGCAGTGCGCGCAGGCAGAAGACGCGAGCCGCATACGCCGTTGGGCGCGCCGCGGCCGCACCAGCGATGTGCGCTGCAACGCCCACGCTTTCCATGAGCCTGGCTGATTTTCTTGCGGCCCATGATGATACAAGCCGCGGCGCCGAGTGGCTTCGGCAGTGCGCAGCCCTATGCCAGGCGCCGCGAGCGGCTGCGAATGCCGCCACGACGCGCCAGTGCCTCGCGCGCAGGACAATGAGTTGGAGTCAGTGCGTGATCTTGCGTTTGCAGATCCCGGCGCACTGCAGGGCAACCCGTCCGCGGGTAAGCGCTCCTTCTTAGCCAGAGTGATGGCTGCCGCGAAGTCTCTGACAGCGGAGGAACAGCGCGCGGCTGATCCGGCCAGCGCAGGCAGCGCGGCCGGGAGCGGGTCAGCACCTGAGCCGATGTGCCACGTGGACATTCAGGCGAAGTTGCAAGGAGGCGCTCTGAAGGATGTGGGCCAGGCGTTTTGGCCGCGGTCCGCGGCGGTCGACGCCCTCGAGACGGACGTGAAGCGGCTGCAGCGTCGCGGCATCAAGCGGCCATTTGTGTTCGCTGACCTGAAGAAGTTCTTGCCGTCCTGGGCAGAATCGAAGAGCGCGAAAGAGGAGGCTGATGAGGGCCCGCCCATGTCTCGGGATCTTCGCGACCTTTCGCGCGCGCTCGGCGTAGCGAACCCAGTCAAAGCGAAGTCGCTCACTTTCACGCAATGGCATGCCGCCTTCGACAGGTGCACGCGTCTGCGCGCGGGGCGCGCACCCAAGAGCAACGGCGTCGTCCGAGCGCGTAGGTACGCCATCGCTTGCGTCTGCACGGAGCAGATGACGCTGGCTGCGACGATTCGCCACCGCCAGAACGTCATGAAGGCCCGCCTATCGCCGTTGCTCTGCGGATCCAGCGGCGCGAGTGCGATGCGCGCGCGGCGCGGCAGGTGGCCGCGCAGGCGCCTAATGCTAATCGGAGTGGCGCGCTGGGGCTCGTATACGATGAGATTTGCCGGCGCACTTGGGCAGAGAGGTCTCGCGCCGGTGATGATTCCCTCGACATCGAAACTGTCGTGGCAACGATCGATGTGACTCTCTTGGGCGAGGCAGAGGCCGCGTACGATCGCGAAAGTCAGGAGCGCTCAGCCCCCCGCGGGGGCAAGGGTGCCAAGGGCGGCGGAAAACCCGGCAAGGGCGGCGGCAAGGGCGCCAAGGGCGGCGGCAAGGGCAAGTTCCCGCCTGCGCCCCCGGCGGCGCCGAACGACCGCGGCGAGTACGGGGAGCCGCGGGCCAAGAGAGCCAGGCATCACGAGCGCTGATCAACGTTCCTGCGCCGCGCAGGCGCGGGTCGGTGCGCGCGCGCGCGACGGCGGTAGCCGGACGGCGCGCAGGCGCAGCTGAGAGTCCAGCGGTGACATGTGAAGCGTGCCGCGGACAGGAGGCTGGAAGCGCGGCGCACCTACATGTATGTCGCGCGCGGTGGCGTCGCGCTTGCGCAGGCTACCAATTCGGTGTGGACGCGCGGGGCGCAGCCTACACCGGTTGTTTCACTGGAAGAAGTTGCCGGCGCGGGCGCTCCCGCGGTGGGCGGGGTGCAAGCCCATTTGTCGAAAGGCCCCATCGCGTATCCGTCTTTGCTCCCGCGCGCGCGCGTTAAAAATCTGTCGCGTTGTAGGAGAGCTTGACGCTGGCGACGTGCAGAAGATAGAATTTATCAACTGTGCAATGAAGGACGGATTTCACATCGCGCCATCGCGCGGGATTGAGGAAGACGTTCGCTGCGCCATAGAGTGGGAAGCGTCCAGAGACAGCGTAGAGGTTATGCGTCTGCGCGACAATATGCTATCACGCCTGGAAGCGTGGGGACAAGCGTTACGACGTGACGGGGCCGTCGAGCAATGGTTCGCCGGCGCTGACGACGCGACGCGCGCCGTGTCCGCCGACGTGAATGGGCCGCTTTTAGCTGCTCTGCTCGACATGACGAGCTACGATGACACGGCCGCGGCTGATCTGTTCCGCTACGGCGCGCCTTTGCTCGGAAAGCTGCCCCATGCGGGCAGAGGGCCCGCAAAGAAATTCCCGGAGCCCACGTCGTCCGAGGAGTTGCTGACCTCCTCCCCCGTGCACAATAGAGCCATTTTGTCTTCCTTGCGAGAGGACGTGAACTCGTCTGCGATCCACGAGGGCGCGCTCGCCGATGCGTCTCTGTCGCGGATGACCGCTCCGGTTGTGCTGGCCAAGGCGGACTTGGGCAGGGTGCGTCTGTCCCCGCGTTTCTCCATTGTGCAGGGCGTCAAGCCGGATGGCGCGCCCAAGGTTCGCGTAGTAGACGATGAATCGAGAGGGGGCATCAACTCGGCGTGCCAGCCCGCCGAGAGGTTGTTGCTGGACGGGGCTGACGTTTTGGTGGACGCCCTGCGCTGCTATCACGGTCTGCGCGGGCACGCACCGGCACTGTTTAAGGCTGACATCGACTCCGCTTACCGGCGTGTGCCTATCGCTCCTGAACACAGGCTCGGGATTTCCGGGTGCCCCCCCCCGTTAAAAGCATCGACCTGGGGGCTCGTGTCGGGGTTCCAGAGGAACCCGGCGTTTGCGGTGTCGATGTCGGCCTTGCCACAGGTGGGCAGCTTACAGCACGTATTTGCACGACGGAGACATTTGGGTCACTGGTCACCTGGCGTTGATGTTCGGCGCCCTGGCTGCCGTCTTTGGGTGGGACCGAGTCGGAGCTGCCTTGGCGCACCTCGCCCGCAAGCTCTTAAAGATTCCCACCCTCCGATACGTGGACGATTTCTTTGGGCCGTGCGCACCCGCAACTAAAGAGCATACCATGGCATCGCTGGCCAGACTAGTGCGCCTGCTCCTAGGTCCAGGAGCGGTTTCCGATAAGAAGCTGGAATGTGGCGACGAGCTGGAGATTTTGGGCCTGCATGTGTCCTTTTCTCTCAGCGGGATCAACTTGTTTCCCGCGCCCAAGAAGGTGCGCAAGTGGCTTTTCTTGATCAAGCAAGCGCTCGACTGCGGGACACTATGTGCCGGCCAAGCCAGCAAGCTGGCCGGCGCTCTCAGCTGGGCAGGTCAACATTGCTTCGAGCGGCTAGGGCGTGCGATGTTGCAGCCCCTGTTCGCGCAGCAGAATGCGCGACGGGGTGTCGTTCGCGCCCCGCTCAACTTGGCGCTGTCATGGTGGGCGGAGGTGCTGGCCCTCGGCATCCATCAGTCCAAGCCGTGGGCGCAGCTGGAACGGCAAGAAGTGCACTTGTTCGCTGACGCAAGGGGCGGGTCCGATCCACGGCTCGCCGCCGTGCTGTTCGTCGATGGTCGCGCCTTCTGGTCCGACGCCCCTCCAGACCAGGAGCTGCTGGAGGACTTGGCGCCGCGCCGGGGCTCTCAGATTATGGCGTTAGAACTGCTCGCTATAGCGCTGGGATTAGCTACCTTTAGTGAACTGCTGGCGGACCGCCGAGTGGTGATTTGGTCCGACAATGTGGGCGCAGAAGGGGCAGTGCGGAGCGGTCGCGCTTCCGCTTGGGACCACTCCCGCATCATTCACGCCATGTGGTTCCTCATCGCACGCACCCGGTGTTCGCCGTGGTTTGCGCGGGTCCCATCAGCAGAGAACATCGCCGACCTTCCGTCGCGGGAGGAGTACGAGTTGCTACGTGTTCTTGGGGCGAACTTCGTGACGCCGCGCTTACGCGCGGCTGAGTTCTTCGCACCGGAGACGTTTCTGGCCCGCGCTCTGCCGGCGGGAGCGCGCCGTCGCGCGTCGTCGCGCCCCGCGAGCGCCGTTGCGCATCGAAGGCGGCACGAAGCAACGAAGGCGAGTGAGCCGCTGTCCCGCGTCGAGCCCGTTGCGAGCCATGCCTCGCGCGTGCCTTGCGAGGGCGGCCCGCGCGAGTTGATGCCAAAAGCCGACAGTGGAAGCTGCGTCGTTAACCGGCCCCATCGATGGGCGCCTGGTCGGTTGTCCTATGCGTCAGCGCGCGGTCCCAGCGCAGCCAGCGACGGGCGCTCAGTCGAGCGATAAGCCATGACGTTGTTTCATGAGGTCCGCGGCGTCCTGCCAGAGCTTTCACCCATGGTTACCTTTGCGTTGATCGAGTTGCTGCGGCGCCAGGACATAACGCATCTCAGAGATCTGCAGCTAGCGCGCGTCGATTGGTTCGAACCGGTGTCTGCCGCAGAAGGGGAACGAGGCGTCAGCCCTGACGCCCTGCGCGTAGCGCTGTCAGAGTTAATTAACGAAGCGAAGAAGCCATCTGCCGTCGTGCGCGGCGCAAAGGACGAACCTCCGCCTGCACCCGACGTGCATCAGCGCGAGTGCCGCAGCCGCAGTCGCCCTGCCAGGCGGCGAGCTGCCAAGTGCGATGAGCTTTCGGCGGCTTGCGGTGCTGTGCGGGACCTTGAGCTGGCCGTCAGCATAGCGCGCCAGTGCACCATCGAGCCGCGCGCGGGCCCCCGCCGTGAAGTCGAGGCCCTGCGGCAGGGCCTCGCCCAGCGAAGCTTCAGCGAATGGTCGAATTCGGCTCGGGTCGCCGCGATTCTGGGCAGCTGCCCGAAAACGTGGCCCAGCGTAGTCAGCGCCTTCCGCTGCTGGGCGACTTTCGCCATGACCGTGCTCGGCTGCGACGCGGGGGAAGTGATTCCGCCGTCGCCCGAGGGCCTTGCATTGTGGAGCACATGCTTCCGTTGTAAAGGAACATTCGACAACTATATTTCGCACGTCAGATTAGTCTGCATCCTGTTGCGCGTCCCGCTGGACGCGCTGAGCGACCCGGCAGTCGAGCGCGCGGCTCGCGCGGTGCAAGCGCGAAACACTTGGCAGGCCAGGCCCAAGATGTTTATTCGGGAGGCGCTCCTCACCAGATTACTGAAGCATCTCGAACGCCACCAATCGGGGCGCGAGCTGCAGATGCTTTTCTTGACGGCGTACATATTCCTGTTGCGATTGCCGTCGGAAGCACTGCCGATGCACGTCGCTCGGGACGGCGATCCGCCGCGGGCGGTCGAGCCGAAGAGCTGCCTACGCCTGCATGACGGCTCGATCTCGCTGACGTTGCTTTGGCGCAAGAATCGCGCCACGCCGCTCACGATGACGCGCACGTGCTGGTGCGCGCGCTGTCCATCAACGTGCCCCGTGCACGCGCTGGGGAAATTCTGCGCCGACAGCGCGGCCCAGCAGCCTTTTGCGGGTTTCCGCCCGGACGCTGTCCTATCGGCGTTGAGAGCGGCCCTGCAAGAGCTCGGGGTGCCGCGGCACGATGCCTATCGCACCCACGATTTTCGTCGGGGCCACGCCCAAGACATGGCGGTGCGTGGCTCGCGGCTGGCCGACATCCTTCGCGCCGGAGATTGGCGGTCCGCCGCCTTCCTGTCATATTTAGACAGGGATGCGCTTGAGGACAGCGCCGTCAGGGAAGCGCACGGCGGCGCTTCGTCCAGCGACGAAGACAAGGACTGAGGTGGCTGTGAGCCTATAGAACACCTTCGGCGAGAACAGCGTTGGGTTTTCCTCGCGCGCAGGTGCAGCAAGGGCCTTGGGTGTCGCTGCACCCGCGCGCTCCCGCGGGGAGCGGCGAGCGACGAGTGCGCCGCTCGCCCCCCCCCGCGGGCGCGTGCCTACCCAACGCGCAGCGCTCCCCGCGCTCTCCCCCAACCCTCGGGTTTTCCAGGGTAGCGTCTTTTGTGGGCGAGTACACAACGCAGTTTTGTTCGTTGTCACAAAAACGCGGACCTGGGAACCTTCTACCCCTGCCGCCCCGCCGCTGGCGCCGCGGTTCGCCGCGGTGCCTGTGGTGGGGCGGGTTGGGTCGGTTGGGGGGTGCGTTTGGGGTGGCTCGCCTCAGGTCTTCTTGGACTTCGTGTTCCTCGTCTTGTTCGTGTTCTTTGTCCACGTCTCCCTGCGGTGGGGGGAGGGTAAATATACCCCCGCGTCGCGCGCGCTGCCCCGAGGGCGCTTGTCGGCCGAACGCGAGGCTGGCGCCCTCGGTGCGCGCGTCGCGGGCCGCCGTGGCGGCTTTTGTTTCCCCTCACCCTTCGCCGCTCCTTTGGTTGGGGTGGGGCGCGGGGTGTCGCTGCACCCGCGCGCTCCCGCGGGGAGCGGCGAGCGACGAGTGCGCCGCTCGCCCCCCCCCGCGGGCGCGTGCCTACCCAACGCGCAGCGCTCCCCGCGCTCTCCCCCAACCCTCGGGTTTTCCAGGGTAGCGTCTTTTGTGGATGCGTGGGCCCCGGAGGCCTGGACCACTTCCCGAGGGCCGGTTTTTCGTCCTCCTCCTCCTGCAGCCCTCCTTCTCCTCTGGTCCTGCTCGGCCTCCTCCTCCTCCTCCTCCTCTTCCTCCTCCTCCTCCTCCTCCTCCTCCTCCTCCTCCTCCTCCTCCTCCTCCTTCGCTCCCGAGCACACATCCGCGCGCGGCCTGGTGGGCCCCCCGGAGGTGATGGGCCGAGAGACGCTGGCGCGGCATTTGGACCCCAGAGGGGCCCTCCAGGACGGCGCCGCCAGCCAGCCCCGCCGAGGAGAACTGAAGGAGGATGAGGAGGAGGAGGAGGAGGAGAAGGAGGAGGGGGGCTGGAGGAGGAGGAGGAGGAGGAGGAGGAGGAGGAGAGGAGGAGGAGGAGGAGGAGGAGAGGAGAGGAGGAGGAGGACGGAGCAGAAGGGCAGCTGGGAGGAGGTGGAGGGGGGAGGAGAGGAGGAGGAGGAGGAGGAGGAGGAAGGAAGGAGGAGGAAGGACCAGAAGGAGGAGGAGGAGGAGGAAGGAGGAGGGAGGCGGTGAGGAGGAGGAGGAGGCGAGGAGAGAGGGAGGAGGGAGGAGGGGAGGAGGAGGAGGGACCAGAGGAGAGGAGAGCTGAGAGGAGGAGGAGAGAGGAGGAGGATGAGGAGGAGGAGGAGCAGGAGGAGGAGGAGGAGGAGGAGAAGGAGATGATGAAGGAGGAGGAGGAGGACCGGAGGAGGATGGCTGCAGGAGGAAGAGGAGGAGAACGAGCAGGAGCAGGAGCAGGAGCAGGAGCAGGAGCAGGAACAGGAATAGGTGGAGGAGGAGAAGGAGGAGAAGGAAGAGGAGGAGGTGGTGGAGGAGGCGGAGGAGGAGGAGAAGGATGATGATGAGGAGGAGGAGGAGGATGTGAGGAGGAGGAGGATGGGAGGAGGGAGGCTGCAGGATTATGATGATGTTGCTGATGATGCTGATGATAATTGTGATGATGATGATGATGATGATGATGATGATGATGATGATGATGATGATGATGATGATGATGATAATGGTGGTGGTGATGCTGATGCTGATGATGATGATGATGATGATGCTGATGCTGATGATGATGACGATGATGATGATGCTGATGATGATGCGCTGATGATGATGATGATGATGATGATGATGATGATGATGATGATGATGATGATGATGATGATGATGATGATGATTGATGATTGATGATGATGATGAGGAGGAGGAGGAGGAGGAGGAGGAGGAGGAGGAGGAGGAGGAGGAGGAGGAGGAGGAGGAGGAGGAGGAGGACCGGAGCAGGATGGCCGCAGGAGGAGGAGGAGGAGGAGGACCGGAGGAGGATGGCTGCAGCAGGAGGATGAGGAGGAAGAGGAGGAGGAGCGAGAAGGCTCAAGCCCCATGTGCTCAAGTGTGGCAGGCGCTTCTGGCTGGAGCATGGCGCCACCCGCCTTCTTGGGCTGGAACCACTGAATGGGGGTGCTCGCTTGAGCGACGATTGCAGGCTGGTTGCAAGAGGCTCCCCAAGACGTCCCAAGCCGCCACAAGGGAGCCCCAAAAGAGGCCCCCAAGGGCCCGACATCGCCAGCTGGCCTCCAAGAAGCTCTCAAGAGGCCCCCTGGGGCCCCCGAGGATTCCCAAGAGACCACCAGAGTCCCAGAAAAGCTTCGTACAGGCTCCGGGAGGCTTTCCAGGAGCCTCCCAACAAGAAATCAGAGGCCCCCGTATCTCGGAGAGCTCTCGAGGAGACTGCTGCGTGAGGGATTCCTTCTCATCCTCCTCTTCCTCCATCTCCTTCTCCTCCTCCATGCTTCTTTATCTTCCTCGCTTTCCCTCTGCCATCGTTCTTCCCACTCCTTATCCGTCAGCAATTGCCTTCATTCCATTCGTTTTTTTGTCCTACCCATCTCTGGCCTCCAGCTCCCTATCTTCGATCTAGCCTTCTTCACCATGCCTTTTCCGTGCCCCCTCCTTCTTCACTAATGCTCGACCCTCCATCCTCAAGGGAAGGTGTGGAGGCGGCGGGAGCCGTCTGGGGTTACCGCAGGGACATGGTTCGAAACCCTACGGTGCCCTTATATTCGGGCACGGTCATCCTTCCACGCTGTACGCTGGGTTCGAACGCAGGTAAGTTTTGAGTGTTCGCGAAGCGCGCGATGGTTCTAGCGACATGTGCAAAGGTCACACAGCGACACATTCCTAGACATGGCTCCAAGGTGAGAAGGTGCAACTGTACAATACCGAAGCGCTGGCCCCCCCACCCCCCGCTGTGGGGATCCTGTGACGCCGCTGTGGTACATCTCTTGCATTCCTGGCGGAGGCGGAAGGAGGATGAGGGAGAAAACAAGGAGTGGGAGGCTGATGAGGGGTATGTGGAGGAGGAATCCCTCTCCCAGCGTCCCTCCCTTGCCGTCGTCTTCGTCTTCGTCTTCGTTGCTCATAATATTGTCCCAGCTATCGTTGAGTTGCACCAAGCTCTGGTTGACAGAGGATGTGTTATTTCGTCTAAATCATGTATCGTGGGCTCTAGTGTTGGTTTGACTAGGATTGTGCACCAGAAATGTGTTAATCTTGGGCTCCCTCTGATGGTGAAAGATACTGCTAAGGATTTAGGCGTTGGTACCACGGCTGGAAGGAGGAGGACAATGTGGAAAATGAAACAACGGCAGGCTGAGGGTTCCCGACGCTCCAAAAAGTTGTCTTTCCTGGCAGGCATTAATAAGAAGGCGAAGCGCTTGTTTAAGCCAGCCGTGCAGGCTGTTTCAACTTGGAGTCACCAAGTGCTTGGCCTCCCGCCCTCTCTTGTACAGCGGCTTCGAGGTCAAGCTGCGAAAGCATCAGGCTTGTGGGCTTCAGGCGCCTGCTCCACTACGATTTTGTCGATTAATAACCCGATGCGAGATGACCCTGGGTTTAGATTACGGTATGAACACCTGCTCGAGTGGGGGAGAACCTGGTCCGTCCTGATGCCAAAGCAGAAGATGAGTATTAACAAAGTTTGGTCGAACCTCGTGAACAGGTTTAATGGAATCGACCCGACCTCACGATGGCGACGAGTTAGGGGACCTATTGCGGCGGTTATTGTTTGTATCCTGGACCTCCATGGGCGTCCTGAATCCCCTATCTCCTGGAAGTTCCCTGGGCCGTACCACGTGAAAGTTGACTCGGGCGATTTCAGATTTTTCCTGTGGCACGCAGTGTTCCTTGCAGTGTCGCGTGAAGTTTGGCAACGAGCTGCAGATCACTTCTGTGGAGAAGGACTCCGTGGAGGTGTTGATTTTACAGTCTTCAAGCAGCTCCACGCCTCTTTGAAGAAGAATGGCGATGGAGAAGGAGCTGCACTGCTCACCAACCTGATCATAGGTGGGCAGTGGCCTGAAATGAGATTAAAAGACTCGGGGTATGAAAGCAACGGAGTTTGTCCCAGGTGTGGTTTGGCCCCAGAGACCCCTTTTCACCGGTTTTGGGAGTGTGAAGACAACAAAAATATCGAGGATTCTGCGATCCGACTCACTGATAGGTTTACTGATGATGCCCGCCAAGGGGTCACTGACGCGTCTTGTTTTTGGACCCGAGGGTTGGTCCCCATGGGCTGGACGTTGGATGACCTTCCTGATGGGCAGCTCCGTGTTTGGGCCTGGGGATCTTTCCTTGAGCCCATCAGCTCTGGAGTTAAAATTGTTGGAGGAGTGTTTGGGACTGACGGTTCGGGAGGAGAACACGGCAAGGATTGGAGGTTGAGGAGATGCGGATGGTCTGTTGTTCACCTGGACCCTGATTCCCTAGAAGTTCGAGGTATCCTTTGTGGGACCCTGCCTACTGTTGGTATGTGTGTGCAGAGCTCTCCTCGGGCAGAACTATTTGCACTACATCAGCTCTTGGTTTACACCGAGGGCCCAATTCACGTTTACATTGATTACCAGCCTATTGTCTTGGCCTTCAGAAGGAAAGGAGCACGGGTGGATGACTCTACCATGCTGGACATATGGCAAAAAGTTTGGACCACTCTTGAGAGACGACCAGGTGATGTTCGTGCGACCTGGGTTAAAAGTCATCCTACCAGGAGACAGATCGACCAGTACCAGATCTCTCCCCACGGCCTTGTTGCTAATTCGGTTGCAGATGTCTTCGCTGGGGTGGCTGCCGAATGGGGGGCTCTGGATCCTGAATTAGTCAGAACAGTGCATAGCGTCGATTCCTGTTGTGTCCTCGTGTTGCAGCGGCTCCTAGCTATCAGTCGTCACGTGTCGTTGACCTGTGGTCGTACCCGCCAAGATAGACTAGGCCGCGAGCAACACCGAGAGAGAGCTAGGGTTAATAGTGCCAACCAACGTAAATGCCGCCTCGTCCAACAAGGACATGATGTCCTGAAGATGAGCACTGTTTTTAAATGTAAGTTATGTGCCAGACGTTTCCCTGCCTTGAAAGGCCGCTTGGATCAGTTTTGGCCTGAGGCCTGTCCTGGCCCCGTGGTGTTGGGTCCCGCTTCGAGGGATGGGCCCTCCGCTGGGATCGGTCCGTGGAAGCCAGTCGGGCCCGATGGCGGGCATCATCCGAGTGTTTCACTGTGCCATTCCTCACACCAGTTGTATGTGTACCGAGGAGTTCTTTTTTGTGCTGCATGTGGAAATTTTTGTGTAGGGACCCCTGTGAATCTGGCTGTGATCTGCCCTCTGCGTGACCAGGTGCACCCCAGGCCCTGTAGCACTACAGGGAAGCAGAATCTCAGCAGGTTGAAGAGGGGACTCCCGCCTAAGTACGGCATGAGTTTCCCTGAGGCGTGAATGAGGTATAGGGGCTGAGCTTGCACTCAGGAGCCCGCCACCA